AGGGTCGAACTGTTCAGTACAATTTATTTACAAAAAACAAGTGGTCATGATTTGTTTACATTTTACACAAGTTGAGAAACCAATGTTTCACGATGTCGATCATTGATCTGATAATTAATAGAAACGCACTTATGTGAACTTGGGAGGAAATTAGAAACAACACCCCAGCTTGTCTGGCAAAACAGCCGTTGGCGTTTCTCGAGTTCCCTGCCGTTTATATCGCGAATCTCGGCATTTTTCTTACTTTGAACAAGGAATTGTATATTTAAATATACAATTCCTTGCTTTGAAATACGGTCAAACTGAAATTCGTAATTCTTCCATGAACAGGAAGTTCAGCTAGCTGTGTAAACTGTAAAATTAAATGACCCATTAAGTGCATGGCTTCACCTGACAGCTTTGGTGTCAAACACATTGTTAATTAAACACCAATAATCTTTGCTTTATGTCAAAAACAATTTGTCTATTTCAAAAATGTTTGCCAAAAAAAAAATGAGTTACTTCCCCTTTTTTATCACCTTTTCACAATATATTCCGTTAATTTATGGGTTTGTTTTCGTAATTAAATAAATATAAAACAAATTGAATGCAAATGCATATTAGAATATTTCTTTTAATTATTTTTATCCTGAAAACACTGAAAACACGTATAAATATTTTGAAAATTATTTTTTTCATCTTCACCTCCATTCATTGATCTATCAAGTGCATTAAAATAATAATTCAAATTGATTTTTGCAAGGTTTCAAAAGATATAAAGATAAAAAAAAAATAAGAGAAAAAGTAACTAACATGTTAGCTTATATGAAACTCATAAGCCACTAAATATTTAAATTCATCTGCAGTGTGAACATGTTATTAGTCACTACTAATGACCCGAGATTTTGAAAGCCAAACATAAAAAATTGTGCCAAAAGTATTGAATTTTATTACTCCCCTTCAACTGAAACTTGATTTTACCTTAGTGCCTGGGTTTTATTTAAGTTTAATTGCCCTTATTTCAATGACATTTTACGAATAAAATTGCCATTTTTCTGACTAGAGCACCCTGCCCTTTTTAAATCCTGGCTAGAACACTGTATCTTCATGTGAATGTGAATATATATATATTTAACAAACAATAGTTAATTTCAGTCCCAAAGATTTTCTTTTTTATTTGGTTGAATTTGTAATACAGATTATATTTTTTCTTAAGTCCCAATACCAGGAATCATCAAGGACTTTTGTTTTTTTTTTCCCATTCAGATAGAATTTATAAATGTCCTGAAAGTTGGATGAATGATGATCGAAAAGTCCTGATATATTCTGGTTTATATAATATGATTTTTGAGAATTCCCCCAGTTTTAAGCTGCTTGATTTGAAAGTCCTGACATTTTCTGGAATTCTCTTATTAAGTTTTTTCCTAAAAAAAGGACTTATAGCCTAACAGGATATTTTCAGGATATCCCAGGATAATCTTGAGATATCCTTATTATAAAAGTTGTCAGGATTCATTTCTGCAAGGGGTGTATACATCATTTGATGGAAAATGTAAAAATAAAAGTATTGGTTACAAAACAGTCATATAAATAGTGACAAAAAGTAATTTTAACAAAAAATAATATGTCACATTTAATAAGTTTACACTGGTTGAAATAAAAACCAAAGTATTCTTGAAATCCTTTCCTTTTACAAGATATCATAAGTGTATTGCACAGTTTAGGAAATTGTTTGTTGCAACTTTCTAGCAAACAAACTCTTTCTTGCAACATTGCAGCAAAATACTGCAACTTTCTCACGAACAAATATTATTGCAGTAACATTGAGAGCTTAAATTGTTACAGGTTACAGCTGCAACAACATGTAACTTTCTTGCTAGTACTTCTTGTCAACAAATTTGTTTGCTCCAATATAATAGAAAACTTTTTACTTCAGGAAGGGATGTTAAATTTTCAGACACAATTTTGCTGAAATTTTCTAAGTTTTTTTCCATCAAGCAAAATGACAGAGTTTAAATACCATCACACTTTCCATCAACAAAATATTCTAAGTCCAAATTTCATCTCACTTTCCATCAAAGAAAATGTTTAAGTCCAATTTCCATCAAACTTCCTTCATTTCCATCCTATTTTCTATCAGATGGAATAAATGCCATCATATTTTCCATCAGAGGGTAAAAATGCCATCCAATTTTCCATCAGGGGTTAAAGATGCCATCAAATTTTCCATCAAAAGAATGCGGATGGAAATAAAATTCCTAATTTCCATCATCCTTTGATGGATATTTTTGGTTTAGGATGGAATTCCATCAAGTACCATCAACTTTCCATCAATTGTCCATCAAGTGTTGATGGAAAATGAAGAAATTGATGGAAGATCTAGGAAGGGCGATTTAGTCACAAGAAACTGTATATCTAAATTTGAAAAAAAATCATCACAGCGTTTTCATGTTATTGAAGAGACAGTTTGGCAGCCGCCCGTCCGCCCGCCCGCTGTACATCCCCAAATCAATAACCGATATTTCCTTAGAAAATCCGGTTAACAACACCAATATTAAGAAAGGAAGCAGTAAATACTACTATCAATATTTCTGATGACAGATATCCATCAGTATGATGTGAAATTAATCTTATTAATCTATTCTGATTTAACTAAAACAATCTTAAACATAATACAATTTAAAAACTGAACCACACTTGTATAATTGCAAAATTATTGGAGATATTGGGCCATAATTGGTAAATGTCCAATTTTAAATTATTTAAGTACTTTTATCATTTTGTAAAACTCATTTTATTATTTAAACAAACAGAGAAATTCAAAACGTTTTACAGAGCTTGTGTAATATAAAGCACACACAATCCTGAAAACTCATTATAGACCGGAGGTGCAAAATGCACAGATCTCAGAAGAAGTGACAGATAAATACTAGTACAAAGGATTTAGGGTTACTAATCTTAGTTATACTTTTGAAATCAAATTTCTCTTCTAATGAAGACTACAAGGGTTGACAAGGATATGGTACAAGTTTAATTGTTATTTATAGATTTCGTAACGACTGAAAATTTGAAATCACTTGATATCAACTTGTGGCAGTCTATTGTTACTATTTTAGTTAAAAAACAACATGTCAGCTAGTTAACTTGTATAATTTTTGTCTATTGAGTATTTGGGGCTGATGTCAAAGATTTTGATATTGCTAGCTGACATGACAGTCGACAGAGAGACATATAACTTTCATTTTATATATATATATATGTCATTCATGATATCAACATCTATTAAAAAAACATGTATGATATTATTTTCATATACACCACATGTATTTCTTAAAATCTTTCTGAGATACATTTGAGACCAAAAGGTTGGAAAGTGAAAAATATAACATGTTTTGATCTAGCATAAAAACCAAAAGAACAAAATGAAACAAAACCCCTTGAAAGATTGGTAGTATTGACAACAGTTATAAACGTAAAGTCATATGATACAGTTATGATACCATTGGTAAGGTTAATGTTAATGATACCTCAAAATTAACAAAAAAAGTTGATATGTTTTATATACGTGTACTTAAAAGGCGAAGTTTAACTATAATTCATGTCTACAAATACTTTCTTTTGAAAGAAAATCCCTTATTTTATCCAAATCTTCAAAAAATTAACTGCTTGAAATATTGGTATTCTAATTCGCTGACAGCTTTTCCGTATGCAGTGACCTAAACAGCTAAACTATAACATATCTCTTAAGAAATCTGCAACCACACAGCATAAGTGCAAAGGGAAAAAATTGTAATGAAGGAAGGATAAGGTAAACAAATGCGGAAAGAAGATTTTTATCAATCTATTTTTGAAATAAAAATGAAAATAAAATGATTTTTTTTTTAAATTTTAACAACTGTTATGACAAACTAATTGGAACAATGACAATATATATATATATATTTGCCTTCGGGTTTATATGATCCGTTCATCCTATTTTGACTCTTTCAAAATTCAAGAGTCTATCCTAAATTGAGGTAAATTATATGGCCTTCCAAATACCGTTTCGATTCCTAACATCACTGAAGAGACATTAATTTTCGAAATCCGGATATGGTGTACAAAAACCTTTGCACCTTTTGTTTGCGGTATACCATCTTTTCCGCAAGTTTATTGTTTTCTGTTTAGTATTCAATTTATAATTGAGATCCATTTATTACATCGGTGATCCGTTTATTTGGCAATCACCAAAGGCAGTCAGTAGGGTTTAAGAACATCAGTTGTTCGACCTGCTAGTCAAATGCGTTTTGTTAAAATATACTTTTTCACTCATTTGGTCTTTTGGAAAATGTTGTTTGTGCTGTATTTAGACCCCTCTACCAAGAAATTTGTTTTGCATGCACACGTATAAAAATTGCAGTTTTTATCCAACGCAATCATAGGATAGAACGTTGTTTTCAATTTAGATTTGTTTATATATATATATATAATATATATATATAAAAATTAACATTGCTCTATTATCTCATTTATTTTTTACATGCTCCATGATTATGTTTTGATTATTTATCAAAGTCCCAATCAGTTAACTTAGACACAAAACCCCAAAGTTTTGGCTCAACAATCAATATTTTTCTTGATTATTTGTTATTTATAATATAATAAATATAAAAATCTTAGACAGAGAATAGTTAAGTATATATGCATGCATTGTTTCAAGAACTTCCTTAACATTATAATCACCAGAAACATGTGTAATATGACTTTAAAGCCTGATAAAATAAACCTTTAGCTTATCATGCTTATTGGACTAATTTTGATTTTGAAGTTCAAACTAAATAATAAAACACAGAATGGCATAAAAAAACAAATGACAGAATTCTATAGTAACTATAGAAGTCATTTGTTTTTTTATGCCATTCTGTGTTTTGCTGTCTCATTTATGTTTGAATAGATAAGAAAGGACACCTGAAGTTAAATCACTTTCTATTAGCCTCTATGAGGTATGTTTTAACAAAAATTGTAATTAATTCTATATTTAGCCAGCAAGTCTAAAGCCTATAGATTTTCGAGAAGATGGAATGTTGAGAAGTATTCTTTGTTTGTCAGACAAACTTACTGAAAAAGTTAGATCATTAAATGCAAAAGACTTAATTCCTCATGAAGTAGAAGTGTAAGTACACAAAATTTTTATTTTTATTGTCTCGCCTTGACAGAGTCAAAAAGCGAGACATAGGTATGCTGTTTCCGGCGTCGGCGGCGTCAACAATGTATTAGTTTGTGATTAGGTCTAGTTTATGGTGAACCACTAGTGTTAGGTCAATGATATTTCGTATGCAGTTGTATTAGCATTGGCACATCTCGTTTCCATGAAGATAATATGGCCCCGCCCCCTTAGTCATGGTCTATTGACTTTGAAACTTTTGCTTAGTTTACATGTATTAGTTTGTGATTAGGTCAGTTTATGGGGAACCACTAGTTTTTGGTCAGTGATATTTGGTGTGCAGTTGTATAAGCATTGGCATATCTCATTTCCATGAAGATTATTTGGCCCCGCCCCCTCAGTCATGGTCTATTGACTTTAAAACTTTTGCTTAGTTTACATGTATTAGTTTGTGATTAGGTCAGTTTAAGGGGAACCATTAGTGGTAGGTCAATGGTAATTGGTATGCAGTTATATACAGCATTAGCACATCTCATTTCCATGGAGAATAGTTGGTCCTTTCCCCACAGTCATGGTCTATTGACTATGGAACTTTTGCTTAGTTTACATGTATTAGTTTGTGATCAGATCAGTTTAAGATGAACCACTAATGTTAAGTCAATGATATTTGGTATGCAAATGTACTGGCATTTGCAAATCTCATTTCCATGGAGATTATATAGCCACACCCCCTCATCATGGTTCATTGACTTTGAAACTTTTACATATTTTACAAGTTAATGTTTGTGTTTAGATATGTTTAAAAGAGAACGACTTATGATAAGTCAATGGTATTTGGTGTGCAGTTGTATTAGCATTTGACATAATTCATGTCAGTGGAGATTGTTTAGCCCTGTACTTTCAGTCATGGTTCATTGACTTTGAATATTTGCATAACTTACATGTTAAAGTATTGCTATTTTAATTTCAACATTTGCATTATCAAAATGACAAAAAGGCAAGACATATCTCTGTGTTAATAGTTTATTGCACACGACACATGTTTCTAAATTAACCTCAAGACCAAGAATAAGAAGCCAAATACATATGCAACATATTGGGGCACATTACAGAAAAGCAGATTTCTGTGAGGTCAACTTTGCCTCTGGGAGTTTCATCCTTATATGTTTTAGTTCTTGAGAAATTTGCTCTAATCACTTATGAATTACACTTGGGCTAAGCCAAAATATATACTATTTCTCGCTGGATTGGAATATTTCTTCAATTTTAGATTAACTTTGAAAGTCAACTTAGCCAAAATGGTCAGTTGATTCCTTAAAGGAGTAATTGCCATTATAAAATGACAATTTTTAAACTTTAACATTTTGGACAAAAATTATAGACAATAGAGGTAAACTGTGTAAACAGTGAAAATGATCAGCAAGGCACAATCAACAAGTCATGAATTATACATTAGTCGGCAATGTGGGAGAGTGGCCATTTTTGTCTCGCTACATAGGTATTGCTTTTTCGGTGGGGACGGCAGTGGAGAATGTGTCAAGAACTGTTAAGTTTTCTGCTTAAGTCAGTTTGATAGGAACTACTTGGGATATATCAATGATATTTGCTTTAAAGTTGCATTACATTAGTTCAAATCAGTTTGATGACTATTTCAAGGCCCTGCTCCCTAGGTTATGGTGCAGTGAGTTTTAATTGTTGTAATGTTGCTGTCCATCAGATTGTCTTTTTTCAAATTTTCTGCAGACAGGTGAGACAGAGCTCTGTGTGAACAGTTTATTAATGATACACATAGATCCTGGTGAGCCAGACAGGCTATTAATTGAGCCTGTAGTGTCCAATTTTCGCAGTTTGGCTGTTATCTTGAAAACATTAGGAGCTAGGTTCAAAGTGTAAAATGCCAAAATAATCCGCATTACAAGATCTATCTACTATGAAAATTTCAGAAAACTTGACAACCCATTTTGGAGTTGTTACCCTTGAAATTTAGATTTTTACAGTTTTATGCAGTTTGATCTATTATCTAAAAAACTACAAGAGCTAGATTCAACATGTAAATTGCAAAAATGATCAGCAACACAAAGAAAAACTGGTATGCATATATAAAGGTCCTGATTAGCAAACCACCTATTTTTTCACCAGGTGAGATATACAGGCACCGTTGTGCCTCTTGTTAATAATACACATACAAATGCAGTTTTAAATCACTATCAATCAGTTTTGTGCATACTTATATAGAAATAAGGATTTGTGGTATGAGACTGCCACTTAGTCAACTATTCACCAAAGACAAAAGGACAAGGATTTAAACAACTACAGGTTAACCTATACAACATTCAATGATGACCAAAACCTATTTTGTGTGGTAACCTATAAAACGCCTCTGACTATCAAAATGATAAACAATTGAAAAATAAGGAACAACTAATAGGCTGATTAAAATAGATAACATTGAAATTAAAATAGTTATTGCAGATCTATGGCAACTTATGACAAACCACTGGACTTCTATATTTGTTGAAAAAAATGAAAAAAGTATGTTGTGTATATGTGTCAGTAAGAAAGTCACCCAACAACATAATAAAATTAGAAAAGACACATTGTTTTTCGTGTATCTTTGCTTTTGTTAATTTTGCTGGTAATGTTTACAGGGAAATGGAGAAGATTTTTTCAGCTTCTGCTTGTTTGAATGCTTCATTTCTATTACTGTAAGTAGCAGCACACACATATATACATATGTAACCAACATATGTTGATACCTACTTCTGTTTGCTGATACTTTAAATTTTCAATGGATTTGAATGAACTAAAAAAATTGTCACACTTCAGAATTACTTCAAATTTAGTCATCATATCAACTGTCATGAGTTGTAACATGTGAGCATGATTAGGTTCTGTCAGATACCTCCTTCCCTTTTTGCCTATTTGATTATCTATATTACTAAATGAATAGAGTTGAAATTGGGTGTCGCATTTTCTTCTTTCACATAAAATCCACGAATATTGTTTTACACCACAAAGGGGTAATGACCAGCGTAGTTTATTATGTGTTCATTTCAAGATCTTTTGGGGGGGGGGTATTTGGGGGTTAAAATCCTTCACCACTTCAGCTCTGAAATTTACGTGCCGTCATCATTTCCGTCATTGCACGTCTGCCCGGCAAAATTAAATTTTATTTCATAGAAGATACGGTAAATATTGACCTTACACTGAAACACTTTGTGATACACATTCCCTTGACGCTCTCAGCAATTTAACCCGCTGCATTTTTGCGCCTGTCCCAAGTCTGGAGCCTCTGGCCTTTGTTAGTCTTGTATCATTTTTAATTTTAGTTTCTTGTGTATAATTTGGAGTTTAGTATGACGTCCATTATCACTGAACTAGTATACATATTTGTTTAGGAGCCAGCTGAAGGACGCCTCCGGGTGTGGGAGTTTCTCGCTGCATTGAAGACCCATTGGTGGCCTTCAGCTGTTGTCTGCTCTATGGTCGGGTTGTTGTCTCTTTGACACATTCCTCATTTCCATTCCCAATTTTAATGTCAATTTTCAGCTAATTTATTGAATACCTAAATGAATATGAATATTGCTTAAATAAGAGTCTTAAGGACTCAACAAAAATCAGTTAATGAACAAAAAGTTTGAATTGTCATGTGTCAGTGCAACTGTAAATGGAAGCTTTAATGAATGCAAAAGAAGTATCTTACAATCAGATATCTATTTTTGTCAACCTCTATTGTAGGGTAGCTGACTCATGAACATTTACTCTTTATCTTCTTATTTTTGTTGAGCCTGCAAAATTTTGTATTGGGAGTGAGACATAGCAATCATAGATTCTGTTGCTGTCGACATCATTTACATTTAGGTTCAGTCAGTGATTATAGTTTTTTTTAGACATTAATAACTTTGTCAAATTTCATGGAATTTTAAGAAATTGTTACGGAAGATTATTTATGATCAAAAGACATTATCCAGAGCAAAATTAGTTTTATTTTACATTTTGTCTCACATTGATGTTGAAAAATGCGGCAGCATATTTGTATTAATAGATCAGTTTTAGGGAAAACCACTAGTGGTAAGTCAATGATATTTAGTATGAAGTTGTATTAGCATTGGCATATCTCATTTCTGTGGATATTATTTGGCCCTGCCCCCTCAGTCATTGTTAATTGACTTTGAAACTTTTGCTTAGTTTACATGTTAAAGCTTGTGTTTAGGTCAGTTAAAAGGAAACCACATAAGATAATTCAACTGTATTTGGTATGCAGTTGTATTAGGATTGGCATTTCTCATTTCCATGGAGGTTATTTGACCCTGGACCTTCAGTCATGGTTCATTGACTTTGGATGTTTTGCATAGTTTATAAGTAAAATATTGTATAATTCAAGATTTGCATTATACTATCAAAATTACATGAAAGCAAGGCATATCTGTATCAACAGTTAATACCATACTTTACTGCTCAAGAACATGTTTTTAGAGGTTACGTTAACATTTAGATACAAAGTCTTGGGTTAAAGTTTTTGAGACATGATAAATAACTTTGTCTATTAAAACATTTTAAAATTTTATGAAATAATGTTTGAAGTTAAATTTTTTTTTTCATTTTACATCACGTAAGCTTTTGCCATCACTTGCAGTCCTTTGTTGTCAGTTGTCTGTCATCCGTGGTCTGTCGTAAACTTTTTCAAAGATATTCTACTCTGAAACTACTGAACATATTTAACCAAAACTTGGGGTATTGATCCTTAGGGTATGTAGTATAAAGTTTTTTATGCCCCCGCTGTAGCGGAGGGGGCATTAAGTTTTACCCTTGTCCATCTGTACGTCCCAAAGTTGGTTTCCGTTCTCTAACTTTAGTTTGCTTCAACCAATTTTGGTGGCGTCACTTTAACCGTTCTGGAGTTATGCCCCTTTACAATTGGACAAATTGCTAAATTTTTCGTTTCCATTCTCTAACTTTAGTTTGCCTCAACCAAATGGTATTAAACTTATACACAATGCTTATTACCACAAAATACAGATCAAGTTTTAATTTTTGTCTTGCTTGACGGAGTCAAAAAGCGAGACATGGGTATGCTGTTGTTGGCGGCGGCGGTGGCGTCAACAATGTATTAATTTGTGATTAGGTCTAGTTTGTGGTGAACCACAAGTTGTAGGTCAATCATATTTGGTATACAGTTGTATTAGCATTGGCACATCTCATTTCCATGGAGATTATTTGGCCCTGCCCCCTCAGTCATGGTCTATTGACTTTGAAACTTTTGCTTATTTTACATGTATTAGTTTGTGATTAGGTCAGTTTATGGGGAACCATTAGTGGTAGGTCAATGATATTTGGTATACAGTTGTATTAGCATTGGCACATTTAATTTTATGGAGATTATTTGCCCCTGCCCCCTCAGTCATGGTCTATTGACTTTGAAACTTTTGCTTATTTTATATGTATTAGTTTGTGATCAGGTCAGTTTATGGGTAACCATTAGTGGTAGGTTAATGATATTTGGTATACAGTTGTATTAGCATTGGCACATCTCATTTCCATGGAGATTATTTGGCCCTGCCCCCTCAGTCATGGTCTATTGACTTTGAAACTTGCTTATTAGGTCTTTCCACTTTTCCGTGGAAAGACCTATTGCTTTTGTTCTGATTATTATTATTATTATTAGGTCTTTCCACTTTTCCGTGGAAAGACCTATTGGTTTTGTTCTGATTATTATTATTTTTTTTTTTTTTTTCTTCCGCCTAATTTTTTTCTTGCGTAGTATTTTTGTTTCATAAGATGTCGCTTAGATATTTGGTATGTGATATCGAACAGTTTATACGCTTTTGAAACTGACAACTGCTTAACCGAATACTTTACGTTGTAAGAGTTATCTCCCCAAACACTGTTTTTCTTGTGGCCACTACTCCTTCGCAACCGTAAAAGATTAAGACTAATTTATTTTACCAAATTGCTCGCTATATCTTCAGGATGTTGAGTTTGGTTTTCACCGAAGCGTTCCGGAGACTCCATATGAGAGTTATTTCCCCTTATGCATTTGATATAAGTGATATGCATTTCTAACTGGTAAACCATAAGTGATAGAGACCTAGGGTCTTTTGAGGTCCTTGGTCCAAAAAAAAGAAAATTTGGTCAAGGTCAAAGGTCAAGGTCATATTCCAAATTTTGATTTTGGCTTAATTTCACTTCTTTTCAAAAACCGTATAAGATATCGACAACATATTATTACTAAATTGTTAGTTGCGACATGTCGTAACACATACATTTTGGTTTAAAGGGTGCGCTAACATTAAATTAGAGTTTTCTCCCCTCTTGTATTTGAAAATACGCGTATGGTGATATAACTCATTAACCATATATAACTAAGACCTAGGGTCTTTTGATTTGAGGTCCTTGGTTTATGACCTTGAAATTGAGCTCAAGGTCATAGGTAAATTTGACGTTCTAGATTTTGACCTTTGCTTTTACCTCATATGTATAAATGATAAAGCCATGGGACTTTTTGCATTAGGTTGCAAGCCATTTGACCTTGAAAAATCCAACCGGAAGTGACCTTGTGTAAACCGGAAGTAGCTATTTTTTCTACTCATTTGATATAAAAGTATATAGAACCATATATTTTTGGAATCAGTATCAAGTAAACATTCAAATTATACCGAAAGTAACATTTTTCAAACCGGAAGTAACAAATTATCTCCCTTATTTAAAAACAAAATGTATAGAAACCATATATTATTGGAATCAGCGTACAATAAGCTATCATTTGACGCTGGAAATGACATTTTAAACCGAATTTTAATATTTTTATATCAAAATAGATCTTTCTGGGTGGAAAGACCTTCAATTGTTCTCTGAACAATTGGTTTTTAATTTTTTTTAGTTTATACGCTTTTGAAACTGACAACCGCTTAACAGAATACTTTACGTTGTAAGAGTTATCTCCCCAAACACTGTTTTTCTTGTGGCCACTACTCCTTCGCAACCGTAAAAGATTACGACAAATTTATTTTACCAAATTGCTCGCTATATCTTCAGGATGTTTAGTTTGGTTTTCACCGAAGCGTTCCGGAGACTCCATATGAGAGTTATTTCCCCTTATGCATTTGATATAAGTGATATCGTTTCTAACTGGTAAACCATAAGTGATAGAGACCTAGGGTCTATTGATTTGAGGTCCTTGGTCCAAAAAAAAGAAAATTTGGTCAAGGTCGAATAAGGTCATATTCTAAATTTTGATTTTGGCTTAATTTCACTTCTTTTCATAAACAGTATAAGTTATCGACAACATATTATTACTAAATTGTTAGTTGCGACATGTCGTAAAACATACATTTTGGTTTGAAGGGTGCGCTAACATTAAATTAGAGTTTTCTCCCCTTTTGTATTTAAAAATATGCGTATGGTGATATAACTCATTAACCATATATAACTAAGACCCAGGGTCTTTTGATTTTAGGTCCTTGGTTTATGACCTTGAAATTGAGCTCAAGGTCATAGGTAAATTTGACGTTCTAGATTTTGACCTTTGCTTTTACCTCATATGTATACATGATAAAGCCATGGGACTTTTTGCATTAGGTTGCAAGCCATTTGACCTTGAAAAATCCAACCGGAAGTGACCTTGTGTAAACCGGAAGTAGCTATTTTTTCTACTTATTTAATATAAAAGTATATAGAACCATATATTTTTGGAATCAGTGTCACC